CGACACCAGGCAGAGCTTGTACACGCCAAGGCTGCGGAGATCTTTTACTGGCTCTTTTCTCTGCCCGTGCCGGTCTCTGAATAATGCCATGAACTAGTCTAGCGCAGTTATTTAGTAAATGAGTTGTGTGTTTTTCAGTGCCCACTGATTTTTTTTTCCCGATTTGGATTGTTTGGATCCACGGTGAGAGCAATTTGTATTTCAGCAAAGGGTCCTGCAGCAAATTAGCAGCGACAACTGGAGGGTAATGAAGATGTCTACAAGAAAGCCCCATTGTCTTGTCAGAGCTTTTGTCATTTCGGTTAAATTGCGAGTCCTCTCCCAGTGAAAAATTTCAGAAAAATAATGTTTTTCTATTCGTGTCCACCACTGTGGCACCAGTGCCCACCCGCTGGGGTGAAGAGCCCACCCGCAGCGCTGCCACTGACCGTCTGCCCACCTTCGGGCAGGAGGGGTGGTTCCGCGTGTGCCGTTCTTTGCCGTGATCCTGGCTACACCGTGAGCAGGGTAGAAGCCGCGAAGGGGGAGCTGAAGTTGAACTGGGGGCAGGTGATGGAGATTCAAGACTAGAACGATGTTCGAAATCATCCTCTTCTCTTGGCTGAGCAAACGTCTTTTAACTTTGTGCATGTTACTTCCTAATTTTAGAAACGAACCTTTTGCAGAGAGTTGCCGGTTAAATAATGCATCATGCCCTGGCGGGTGACACTGTGGGGTGATTAATGTTGCAGCCTGCCTACTGGAGACAATCAATAAAGAGAGTTTAGCCATGCAGGGGCACCAGTTTTGTCAGGCTGAAGTTGAAATGCGTGGGCTCAAAATCATGTGGACACACTCTGCATGTTGTAATCTGAGTTGTTAAATAACCAATGTGTTTCTTTTTATGTAAACTCTCAGCTGGAAAAATGCAGTGTCAAAACTGCCATGCTCTCAGCAGCCTAGTCAAGCAGTCACTGAGCAGCCGGTTTTTATGGGTGAATAATGAAGCTTCAGTTAACATGTGCATCTCTTGACATTTTACAAACACCACTAATGTTTTCCTTTAGGCTACAAGGATTTCTGCATCTGTATAACAGTTGACATTAGTACAAGCTAAAGCTGAGCGTGGTGTTCAAGTCAGTCAGGACTACGGAGATCTGTTTTAACACTTTCAGTTCTCCCTGTTCGTGGTTCCTCTCTTGCCATCGTCTTCCTGTCCCTGTCTGGCATTGTCCTCGCTTTACCTGCGGCTACTCTCCCAGGAGTACCACTGGCCCATTATATCTTTCTCTGTTAAAACAATCTGTGATCAGTCCCTCTCCTTGATTTTACTGGATGCTTCGCTCAGTAGAAGCACAGAGCAATCTCGTTAGTGCAGAACTGACGCTGGAGGTAAGTGTGGTTCCCTTGACATGAAGTGCTAGGGGAGAGCCTCAGAGGTTAACAGTACCTGGGTAGATTTGGGAACACTTGTTGGCACTTTAAAATGCTAGGTCAGCTGAGCTGCTGGTTCCGGTTCATTTACGCTTGTTCAGTACACCCCAAGGCCAAGGTGCAAATGCAGCCCAGATCACCAGGCGAAACGTGTGTGCCTTGTCTCAGTGTCTGCTAGATACTAGCTCATGTTAGAAAACCACCGTGTAGTTGGGCATCTTAGAAGTGTTGACTCGTGAAGCACCCGTTGGTTTTGGGTTTAGGTATCATAGCTTCCTGTCTGTTACTTCTGATCCAAAGTCTCCCACAAAGATTTATATATTCTGTTTATTAATATATCAAAATCGTACAGTATGCAGCTACCCGTCCCTTTGTTGAATGCTGATGAGAAACATTCCATGTTCCCAAAGACTTCATATAAATAAAACGAGACAAATGGGAGATGAGGTGCAGGACAGCTGCTAACCACAGATGAAAGAATAGATGTAAAATGGTTGCATCAGTGGGTGGTGATATAAAGGGTACTCTCAAATTCCCTGGCAGTGCAGTAGAACAGGTGGGAGAGACAGCTGTTTCTAAAGAGGTTTTTTTATAATTTCTTTTATGATCTTGCACAATCTATCAGAGGCCACTTTGCTTTTATTAATGTAACTTTTAGTAGCTATATCTAGCTATTTAACATTTTTGCATATTGCTCACCAGCTTTTAGTGCTTCTGAATAAGTTCTTCAGATATCTGTAGTGTAGATACAGAGTACACAAAGTACATTTTCTGAAAGTACAGGCCACAGAATCATTATTTCAGGTAGAAAATTTTAGGGAAGAGATGTGGCAAATATGTTAATGAACTGGAAGCCTTGAGACATCCAGTCTGGCAAGCTGGTTTGTGAAAATTTGTTTTAGGACTTTCTTAAGAAGCCTGTCAGTTGATCTGAATCCCTCAAACTTCTCCAGTGCCTCTTATTTCCTCCTTGATTTCTTTGGGAAATAGTTATTTCTTTTTAAGTTTTAAAAGACTAGTTCTTTCTAAAAAGTATTTTTGCCTTTCAACTCAACAGGCTGCGCAGTTTCTGTACAAGAGAGATTCAAGATGAAGATTACAGGTATAGGGCATATTTCAGCAAGTAGATAGATATGTATATTGATGTTTTCAATGAGTTTTCTCATCACATACTTGGATTTAAATAGGATATTTCCCTCCCCTTTCCATGGGTACTAATTTTTACCAGTATTGTATGAGAGATGTGGAAATTTGTTTGAGTTTCTAGAAATGAGGCTTCATTTACCATTTGTTTGGAGCCAGTGTTTGAAGATGATGTTCTGTATGAGAAACCGTGTTGCGCTCTAACAAGACAAGACTTGTGGGATTCACAGCAGTGACCGATGAGGTTGTGGTTCATCCTTGGTTTGCTGTTAGAATAAATGGCTATGGCAGTGTGCCTGTACCTGGAACACTGCTGCTCTGTCCCTCCCTCTCAGAGTGTAGTGGGGAGAGCTGAAAAAGCTTCAAATAAAGGTGAAACAACTTTGGTATGAGGCATGGCTAAATGTACTAATGCTCTTTAGGCTAAAAACAGTGACAACTGAGAGGATATATGAGAGAACCTATGAAATTAGCTATCGTGGGCAAGAGGGGGTATGTGTACTCTTTCTTGCAGGCAAGACCTAGGAGGCACTGAACAAAAAGCGCAGGTGGCAGGGTCAGAACAAAGGAACGCTTCCCACAGCGTGAAGTTAGACTGTGGAAGAGATACTGTAATCCAAGAAACACCTGGATGGCTTCACGGAGAAGCAGCCCCTCAAGGAGAGTTAAATGCAGAGATGGAACCTTTGTCTCAGGAGGTCCCTGGAGTACAAAGGATCGTAGGCTGGGAAAGGCTCTCTAGAAGCCTCCTGTGTTCTTATACTTTCTGTTTTCAGTTTCATCTTCTACAGCCATACTGTGCTGTGAACATTCCCTCTGGTGAGAGTGACTGGAGGAAAATTGGAGATGGATTAGTGAAGAAGCCAGATCCCCATCGTGCTGAGAAATGGCTGTGAATTGGCCTTTCTCACTGAATTCCTGGTGTGAAGCAGGGTATGGTGGTGTCCAAGGTGACTCGTGACGCCTCAGGCTGGGGCTCCACACCGCACTGTTCTTTTGCCTGTTACCTTGACCCTACACTTACCTGCACAGCAGTGCTGCTGAATACACCCATCTGGCAGGCACGGCCCGGAAAAGAGACCTTGCCATGAGATTCATGAAATCTCTTTTGCAACAGAGACTCTCTTCATTGAGAGCATTTTAATCATTGCAGGTCTGGAATAGAGAAGTCCTCACTTTTCCACGTAACATAAACATGTACTCAAAAAAATCAGACTTGTGATACTTCCATCTGATAAACCTCAAAAGAAAATAGACACAACTGCATTACAGCTGAGCTTGTACCAGCAGCCTTTGGTGATTCCCGCTTGGAAAGCTGACTCGGGAGAGAAAATATTTTGCCTGAGGATACGCTCTTTTTAAATGGAAGCTGTTTTACAAAAATAAATATGAATGTGAGAGTTGAATTTAACTTATTTTATTCCATGATGAGAGGTTTCAGGAAGGCTGGAAAGGGAGTCAGGGCTTCATAACGTTAGTGGGGGGAAGTGCCCTTCATTCTCATCTTCTTAGCATGGTGCGTCTGAGGGCTGCTTTATGGAACCGTCGCAAAAGGGAGCCTCCCGAGGTTGGGAGGGTTGTCTGCAATTTAGACAGTTCCATCTCCCTGGAAGAATAAAAACATGGAGGGGACTTAGTGGCTTCTAGTCCTGTGACTTTCAAAGGTTTTTATTGTTTCCCAGCAACTATGGGAAGCTGTCAGATAAACACCATAAATATGGACTGAGATCGTGTTTTCAGCACCTGGCAACCCTGTAGGGTTTCAGCTGTACTTTGGAAGGCATGATCATGGCGCTGAATGAAGGCTGATTCAGTTTTTCAGACTGTCAGCTAGTCAGGTCTATAGAGAACCGTCACCAGTACACAAAATAGTGAAAGAAAACCATCAGTTGCTCACCCCACAACATCCGCAACATTTGCAGTCCCCACAGATTGTTCCAAACAGGCCGTTCACCACCTGAATGCTGCAGAGCACTGCCTGGATCCCACTCATGACGAGCAGCAAGGCGAAGAGGGTCAGGTTCCACGGGACGATGTTTTTGGGTGAATGGCACACATCCCACAATGTGTGGTTAGCGAGGTAATTCCTGGGGGGGAACAAAACAGTTACGAAGACGACGCCGTTAGCTTGTGGAGAGGGGGTCTGTCTCAGCCGAGAAGCTGTCGCTGTGGTGGTGTTCTGTTAGCCTCAGTACTGCCAGAAAGAATTCCCATTACCGCACTGGTGCTGCGTATCTAGAATGAGGTTTCATTTGCGTTTCTAGATCAATGGAAGCGATCGATTTGAAAAGACAAGGCATCAGAGGGGAGCAGCCGGAGAGAGTATGTGCTAGATACAGTCAGGCAGTTTCTGGTATTCTGGGAAGAAGAGGTCTCAGGCCAGCGTGTGCCAGACGGCTGCTCGTCCGTGCCGATGCCTTCGGGCTGTTGGGCCGCGGTGTGGTGGTTCTGTGCCGCTGCAGCGGTGCCGGCAGCTGGCAGTGTGTGATGCACCCACAAAGCGTGCCCCTGCGGACACGGGACGCCCAGGGTCTCCTTGGGAGTGTGGCACCTTCTATAACTCCTTGGCAGAAACACGGGATGGGTGTCTACACCCAAGCATTTGTCTTAATTTACTGTATTACGTTGTAATAAAAACAAAATAAGTGAATTACTGAAACAGTATGATAAAAGATGAACAAACTCGGTTTTCCTAACAAAATATCAAATGCTGCAAGACCGGTCACCTCTTGCCCACTGAGCAGAAACGAACAACCTCTGCTCTTCTAGATGCCTCGTCTAAAGAACAGCAGTATTAGGTAAAAGTATTTTCCATAATTTCTACCTTCACACTTTGATTTATTTATGAACTGCTTAACCACTCACTATGTTTCCACTGTGTATTCTTAATGCTGTTTTGTTTCTTGTGTTCTTGTCAAGTGATTCCTTGACTGCAGCCAAAACTGTGTTTGAAACAGAGAGTATTTTTCCAGATACTCCCAGAATTAGACCAAAGCAGTTGGTTTCCAGCCCTCGCTGGCCCATGAACAAATACTGCGTAACACACAACATCACACCTCTTTTTTTCTTTTTAACCTGAACTATAATTTTGTGGTGAATTATGCAAGAAATGCTGCTAGGTCGCTCTTGACTGAGGAAGACTGCATTAAAGATCTCGGGTGACGAGGTGCTTGCTGCACCCCTCGCCGATCAGTCCCAGTCTCCTCGCTAACACATTGTACCCTATTTTCAGCCAGAGCGTTGCTGGCTTCAGCTTGGAGCCATCGGATTGCTGGGGTTTCATGTTCTTCACACCACCTCTCTGAAAGCGATAAATATACACGACAGCAAACGTGTTTGAGTTGCAGAGTGTGAGTAACAGACAACTGCCAAATTCCATAACCAAGATAAAATGACACATGGATACTAATGATGTGAATGTAAGATGTCGCTGCTATTCATCTAGGTGGAATTTATCCCCATACACTGCTTATCGTCCCAAGAATAACCTAGAAGGCTGTGCATTTCTCTGTATCAGCTCCTTCGAAACTCGGCGTTTTTGATTGTACTTGCTAGTCTTCACCTCCGTGCTCCTGAACCTTATTTAGTATTCCTGTATGTTGCTGGCTCTTCCAAGAGCTGCTGTGTTTTAGACAAACAGTATAATTCCCATTTTTATACAATGGATGTGGAAGTTAAATCATATAACAAAACATGTATAGCTTTTTTTTCTTATTGTCTTATCTTACCCATCGTGGAAAGGATAGGTCCACTCTTTTCCAGTGTTACATTTAGGGCCTCTGTTTAGGGCTACTGCTGACAAAACAAAGCAGTATCCAGCTCCCAGAACTCCAACTGCAGCAAATATTGTAGAAGAAAACATCTGATGAAGAGAAAAACGATGTTATTTTTGTTCTCATTCAAACAATTAAATGTGCCCTATTAATGTGAATGTACATTCCCTAAATTCAGCTCTTAATGGTCAAAATAGCCAACTCTTGAACAGCTAAAATATATTAGTTTGCAGTTACATAATAATAAATGTATAACACATACCTGCACTGGTGTTTAGAAGCTTTAAAAGAATTAGCGGCATTTGCCCGAAGACGCAAGGGGCCCATGCTGACACAGCAGATGGCACTCCTCCCCTTTAGACAGCATTTATCCGACAGACCTGGTTGTTGTTCAAGGTCCTGGCTTTAACTGCCATGGATGTCCTTCTCCAGAGACTGTAAGCAAAACTGACGTCTTGGACCACTCCAGGCAGTAAAAAAAAAAATCTACAGCACCCTTCACTAAAAGGGCTTTTACTTGAAGCACCTTTAGCTTTGATGTCTTGGTCATATTTGGACCAAGTAATTATATTTTTCCTTCCTGAGACTCCCCTTCAGGTTTCATACTCGTGTACTTCATCTCCTTGGAGGTACTTGTCGTCATTACTCTGATAGTGCCGTTGGAGTGGATTGGAAAGGATGTTTTTATTTTTCTGGCTTTCTTTTACAGCATTTTCATGTATACTAATATGTAAGCAAATTATGCAAAAGCTAATGCCCTGCTTGAATTCTGAAGCAAATTCGGTTCTCAGCCACGCCGCGGTAAGGCCCCCCGGACTCTCGGTACCGCGTACTTCGTACTTGCGTCAGCGTTGCCGATCTCAGTCGGCGGCTCGCGAGGCGCCGCGCGGCGGAGCGCAGGTGGCTTTG